AAAGGCCGAGAAGCAATTAGCTTTCACCATTAATAAGAAGTCTCTGTGTGGTTATTTAGGAGCTGGCAGGCAGGATAGAGGAGGATGCGCAACAGAGGTTGGGTGGGTGGGTACTGAACCAAGGACGAGGATATATATAGCTCAGTGCAGAGCCCACAGTGGATTTATGTTCTACCAACACACATACGAGAGAGGGGCGGGGGGAGAGAGAGGGAGGAGAGGGAGAGAGAGAGAGAGAGAGAGAGAGAGAGAGAGAGAAGGAGGGAGGGAATACTAAACTTCTGAAGGTCGAACTATTCATTATAAAGAAGGGACTGTATGTACTAGCACTTCTAATCAGCTAATTAAAAGCTTTCAATGTAAAAAATTTAATAGCTAGTTAATGGTAGGTTCTTCTTTACAATAACACAGACATAAGAAAATTAACCCAAAAAGTATAAATAGAAAATAATCTGTCTTGGATCCACTTTGAAAACAAGCAAGCAAGCACAAAATGCAAATACTTTTAAGACTCATGGACTAAGATTCAATTCAGTGACTACAGAAGCTGAACCGTTGAAGTGTGTCAGTGTGTGTACATGTGTGTATTTGTATGTGTTTATATGTGTGTGTGCTTATATGTCTCTGTGTGTGTCTGTATGTGTGTTTCAGTGTGTCTATCTATATATGTGTGTGCCTCTGTATATGTCAGTGTATGTCTGTATGTATCTCTGTGTGTGTGTGTGTGTGTGTGTTGGGGGGGGAGATGACACAGACATATGCCAGGTATCACTTAAGAGTTCACACTGAGAGCTGAGTGTGAACTGGACAGGTAGCTCAGGGTAGACCACTAGAAGGCTCTGAGTTCCAACCCAAGGAACTGCACTAAAAGCTGAGAGCCATTCTTGCAGCTGTTTTAGACATTGGTGCTCCCTGGAAATGTTCATAGTCTGAAAGAATCATGTTGAGCTAACCATAGCCACGATTTTCTTTTTAAGCCAACTATGAAGCAGTAAAACAGCAAGCACACTCTACAACTGGTTCCAATATAACCGACGACTTTCTGAACAGGGCTTGATTCATAGCCAATTGCAGCTCCCATTTTAAAAATGGCTGCTTTCACCACTGTCCTGTCTCTCCTTGTGTTCATGCTACCATCTCCTCCTGCATGGTTCTTGCTCCTTCCTCTTCACACTGCTATCCTGAAAAGGTCAGCTCTCTTCAGTTCCCTACTCAGTTCACTTCAGACTCACAAAGGACCCTTCCACCAATGAGAGCAGGAATCTAAGGTCACCGAGCAAGACCTTAGCCAACACTAGCAGACCCTATTCACCCAGCAAAATCTGTCTCCCAGATGAGCTCAGCAGCCTTCTCCTGCCCAGTGCTTACTCACCCAGCCGTAATTCCACACTATGTTCTCTCCTCCTTTGATCTAATTGTACACTATCTTTGAAAATTTACAAATTTCTCCCTTCATGAGTTTTTTTTTTCTTTTTTTATGAGCAAGACTGAGTCTTTGTAATCTTCAAAACCAGCAAACTTCAGTAAACGTACCAAACTAACTCTCCCTGTGTGCTGGCTGATTTTTGCCTGCTGGATACAAACTATGGTCATCTGGAAAGAGGAACCCTCAGCTGAGGAGCTGTCCCCATCCGAGTGGTTGATGAACAAGTCTGATATGGAAGGGCCCAGCCCACCGCGGGTGGTGCCACCGCTGGGCAGGTGGGCTTGGATTGCATAAGAAAGCAGTCTGAGCAAGCCAGTGAGCGCCACATTATGGTTCCTCTCTCTGTTCCTGTGTGAGTTTGTACAGATTTCCTCAATGACTGACTTGTGATCTAGACATAGAAATCTTTTGCTTCTCTAGCAAGACTCAGCAAGCCCTTGCCAGACTGTCAGCACCTCTGCTGTCCAGACTCTGATTCTTCCTTACAAAAACTCCCTAACATTGCACATCTTGTTACAGCAACACCAGATTAAGAGAATGTCTACCAATTTCTTTTGTTATATTTCTTTCAAATTTATCAAAGCCTGGTGTGTTTTTTCCATGCCCTATTCAACTCCTCAACTCACCGCCTCATAGTTCCACCAGGCACTATTAGATTAGGTCACCCTAGTTAGCCTCTGAGCACACTTGGAGAGTGATGTGGGAGTGATTTTTTTCTAATCTGTTGCTTTCATTGGTTAATTAATAAAAAAACTGCCTTGGCCCATTTGATAGGCCAACCCTTAGGTGGGTGGAGTAAACAGAACAAAATGCTGGGAAAAGAAAGCTGAGTCAGACAGTTGCCATGATTCTCCCACCAGACACAGACACAGGTTAAGATCTTCCCTGGTAAGCCACCTCGTGGGCGACACAAATTATTAAAAATGGGTTAGATCAACATGTAAGAGCTAGCCAATAAGAGGCTGGAACTAATGGGCCAGGCAATGTTTAAAACAATACAGTTTCCGTGTAATTATTTTGGGTAAAGCTAGTCGGGTGGCGGGACGCAGCCCGCCATTCATATTACAACAGAGTGGCACCCAACCTAGTAACTAAATCCACTTAAAAACCTGAGAGGAGAGCTGTCTAGTTAGGTCAGTCTCTGGGCACAATGTGAGGGCTGTCTCGTTAGGTTAGTCTCTGGGCACAATGTGAGAGCTGTCTGGTTAGGTTAGTCTCTGGGCACAATGTGAGGGCTGTCTGGTTAGGTTAGTCTCCGGGCACACTGTGAGGGCTGTCTTGGTAGGCTAACCTCTGCGCACACTGTGAGGGCTCTCTGGGTAGGCTAACCTCTGGGCATGTCTGAGAGGGATTATCTAGTTTATATTAACTGAGGTAGAAGACTCACTTTAACTGAGAGGCACATGGGAAAGTGATCTGAACATTGAGTATTCATTACCCTTTGCTTCCTGCCTGTGGATACCATGTGACCCGCTGCCCCTATCTGCCACCATGTCTTCCTCACCATGACAGCCTGTGACTTCAGATTGTGATCCAAAGTGAACCCTAAGTTACACTGATCACGAATGTCACCACAGTAATAAGAAAAGCTCTCATTTTACAGCCCAGAAAAGGAAGAGGATTGCCCTCTGCAGTCAAACAACTGAAGCTGGCACAGTGTAGACAAGGACAGGGAGTGGGATGGAAAACTGAGAGATTGGGTGGAAGTCTGTGTATGGAATAGGAACTATTCCTCATCTCACAGTGTGGCTTTAAGGGCACACTAGCTGTCCTGCTGACAAAGACCCCTGCCTTCTGAGAGAGCAGCATTCAGGAAATAATCCCTATAGGGATTGTTAGGAATTTTCCTAACATGAGCTCTCTGCCGACGCAAAAATCCCAATCAAGCCAAATCACAACAAGCCAAATTAAAAATATCCAGGTTTAATGGGATTCCTGCACTATCGGGTGGTCCTGAGGGGGAATCAGGAAGCAGTGGGCTGTCTTGAGCCTTCTCCAGGGAGGGGTCAAGGCTTAGTGGGCATAGGAAAGGAGCACAGGTCTCTGGTCTTTGGAGGCCAAAGGTATGACATCTCAACTACACAAGCTAGGTAACTCAGCCACATCCTCGGACCACAAGGTCCTGCTTCTCTACGTTCGTAATTTCCAAGGTATTTTCAGTGTCTCATCCTTAAATATCAGCACGATTAGGAGAAAAGAACAATTTCCAGAAGATAAGTTTCAGAGAAAATGATACAGAAATGGAGAAAGATTAGTGAGTCAGAAACTCAGGAGGGAGGAGAGGACATGAGATAAGAGTGGGAGAGAGCGAGAGAGCAAGAAGAGCTGGAGTAGAGGGGATGGAAGGAGAGATAGGGGACATGTGTTAGAGGGATGGGGCAGAGGGAAGAAGGAATGAGAGAGAGGGAGCAAAAAGGGAGAAGAGCCAGAAACAGGGTAGAAAAAGGAGTCAGAAGGGGATGGGGAGAGAAAGAGAAAGAGGTTGGTGAGGATGGAGGAGAAAGAAACGATTATGACATTAGGGAACAAGTCTGAACTATCGAAAGAACAAAAGCGATGTACCCCAAGATTCACCTTTGCGTTACAGCGACCCTTCAACCAGTGGCCAGTGGCTGAGAACAGTTAGGCACGACTACACAAAGATGGAGAGAGTTAGGTGTGTGAAGCAGCAGGATTGCCTATGCTGTGGTTGGGAGGAGCAGGAAGAGAATTCTCCTTTCTTAGGAGGAAGTCCATTAGAAAGGGGAATGGGGAGGAGCAGGGAAAGCTCGGATTTAAGAACTTCAGGGGCAGCTACATCTGGTGGACAGCAGCAGGATCTCCAAGACTGCCGAGCCGCTAGTTGTCTCAGGCTACACACTGCAACCCTGAGCAACACCAAAATGTCATGTTAAAAAGCCCCAACAACATCGCTGCATGCGAGAAGAGAAATACATGAAAGGACCAAGTCTCCTTCGTTCACCATAGCCAATAACTCTCCGCTTACGGCAGGTGTCAGAAAGCCAGCTGACCAATGCTAACTGTGATGCCTTTTTCTCTAAGATGCTCTGACGAAGTAGCTCTGGAAGGCTGGCTGGAACTCGCTCTGTAGACCATGCCTGTCTGGAACCCACAGAGATCCGCCTACCTCTGCACCCTGAGTGCCGGGGTTAAAGGCCGCACCACAGTGTCCTTATGTGACCATTTGGAAGCATACAAAGGGCTTGGCAATCACACAAGAGAATAACGCAATGAAAACTGACAATCTCCCCCCTTCTGAAACTGAGCAAGTGCCCGCCGTTTCTACCCCAGGGCTGAGACTAAGTCAGCACAGTGTACTCTGCCAGCATCAGCCTCTCTCATTATAGAAATGTAGAGCGAAACCAAACCAAAGAGTGGGTATCACTCTTTAGGCCTCAAACCTGCAGTCAGCTCTGTCTCCCAGGTGTGACTACACGTGTGCTCACCTGGCTTACAGAAAATTAAAAAATGAAACAAGACACATGCTGTCATCTATCCGTGATTTTCTGCCAATATTAAGATTTCCACAGCACCAGCAGTCCTGGAAGGACCGTGTTCGGCCAGCTGGACTCACCCTATTGAACACGGGCAGCATCATGTACAGCTTTTCTTCCTGTTCTTTCTGAGTCATGTGCCTCGGAGGATGGCACAGCTCGCTGAAGAGGCGGCGGAGGTGCATCAGGCCCAAGGCGTTGTCCTGCGGACTGCACTCCTCCTGCCGAGGCCGCCCCATGATCCTCTTCACCATGTTCATCTTGGCTGGTGGATGAAGCACACTTCTGTTTCTGTAGGAACATGTCAAGACACGGGCAGTCAGCATGGCCGGCCTTGCCTCGGGTCAGCAAACCTATGAGAACTTTAACCGTCTGCAGACTGTTCAGCGTCTGTCTGACTGCTTTAAATGCAGAGCTACAGCTGAGAAACCTCCCAGAACAGCTTTATGGACCGGCAACCTCAACCTCCTACTGGTTCCCAATGTATATAGGATATGATGGGGCAAGTCAAAACTGCCTGCCATTCAGTTAGCATCAAGTTCAAACTGTAAGAAGAGGATCACAAACCTTACTGCTATGAGGCTTAACAGTCAAGTATATATGGTGACCCCCAAACTCAAAACATCTAAAATAAAGCCCAAAAGAAGCGAACTCCACAAACTTTCTAGTTTTAATTTAAAAATGCTTGGACATGAAGGATTTTGAGCATGTGATGAACAATTTGTTAGTCTGAAAATACATAAATTAGATGGAATCATATCTCTTAAGTGTTTAAATATAGAAAGACTGATCATAGAACTAAAGACCACTTTTGTGAACTGTGGATGGAAACCTTTGTGACGTCTTGTTAGTTTGTTACAGTGATAGACATTTTCTAAGAGAAGCAGCAGAGGAGCCAATGGACTGGGCGGGGCCGCGCATGTTAAGGATGCATGAGTGCGCATGTGCGGTTATGGAGTGCGCACCCCTCACTGTACCCGCAATCAGTGAACTACTCAACAGGTTCAAGTACACAAGGACTCAATCACAGGTTCAGAAAGCGCCAACAGCTGTTTGGTTACTTCTGATTGTGCCGGGAATTAGCCAATCTCAGACACAAAAACAGGAAATCTAACAAAGGAACCAGGAAGGCTGGGAGAACATTAGGATAAGGCCAATCTGAATGAAATGCAGTTTGTTTTCAGTCTGTTATAAAGTAGTCATGGCCTGCTTTGATTTTCGCTATGAGGTCACATGAACTAGCATGCTACCCCTTAAGAAATGAAAGGCCGCATCTAAGCAGGGGTCTCACCTACCATGGGTCAACGACTTAGACCTTTGAGAATGAGGATCTGACCAGAAGTATGCTGCCCTTGGGGAATGTGTGCAGGCTTCCAACTGCACACACTATCTCCCCTAAGACAGGAGAGTCTGAGGAGCACCTCCGAGATGAGAGGCACCTCCTAGATAAAGGGGCACCTCCCAGATGAGGGGTACTTCCCAGCTGAGGGGCGCCTCCCAGCTGAAGAGGCACCTTCCCAATAAGGGATGTCTCTCAGACGAGGGGCACTTCCTAGATGAGGGGTAGCCATGCTACCTAGATTTCTAGCTCTGGCAATGCTAGGTGTGTGGAGTGGCTACCATAATCATATATTCTCAAGAGCCTCATTGTGGTAAAGAGTACCTGAACATACAAAAGGCCAAAAACATTTAACTACAACGTAACAAAAATGAGCCCAGTTCAATGCTGTCCAATATATTCATTTTTGGAAAATACAACTCAAGTCTGCCAAATGTTAATAAAAGGATTTCAGCAAATATATTCAAGAAGCCTATTAATGTGGTAGTATTTTACAGTCCTAAAAATCTCTAAATCAGAAATAGAATTGGAAGTGAACAGTAAGCACACATACTGGGTGGCTCACAACTGCCTATAACTCCAATTCCAGGGGATCCAGTGCCCTCTTCTGGCCTCTGTAGGTACCTACACACATGTGGGGCACATAAAACCACACAGGAGTGTGCACACATACACAGAACGATAAATAAGTCTTGTAAACAAACAACCCAGGGTAAAGCTCCTTGATTATAACCCTTATTATGCATGTCTAACACTGATTTCACAATTCAGTGCTGCCCCTATGGTCACATGGCTGACTATTAGATGACCAGTATGCTGTAGCCATGCCCAACAGCTCCTCCATCCACCCCCATCACCCTACTCTCTGACCTTGCTGTGTGGCATGTAACTGGCAACATGCAGTATGTGCACTTGCACAGCCACCTGAATTCACACTTCACAGTGCACTCAAGGTCCAGCCACAGTGTTTGCAAATGACAAGCTTTATGTGCTCAGATAATATTCCACTGGCTATACGCTCACATCACTCTTCTTAATCCATTTATATATTGTCTAGTTACTGTTCTATTTCTGTAAAGGGACAACAGGATCAAGCCAACTTATAAAGAAGGCATTTAATTTGGGGCTTGTAAGCAAGTGTTAGTCTATGATCACCATGATAGGGAGGACAGCAACAGGCAGAGATGACAGCGGACCAGTAGCTAAGAGCTTATATCTTACCCATAAGATGGAGGCAGAGAGACAGAGAGGGAGAGAGAGAGAGAGAGAGAGAGAGAGAGAGAGAGAGAGAGCCTGGCATGGGCTTTTGAAACCTCAAAGTCCACTTCCAATGACACCTACTCCAACAATACTTCTTTAAGTTTCTAACTATCCATCTGAGAACCTCTGGGGGCCATTCTCATTCAAACCACACCAATAAGCATGTAGGTTGTTTCTACATCTTGGCGATTGTGAATAAACTCTATGGCAAGAATGGGAATAGAGGTATCTGAGATCAATTTCCCTTCAGCATCTAGAAGAGGATTCTGGGTCGTGTGTAGCTCTAATTATAGCACTTTAAAAAGCCGCTACACTGTTTTCTGTAATGGCTGTATGTGTACGCCTACCAACAGTGTACAAAGGTTGTATCAGTATATATGCCTACAGTGTACAAAGGCTGTATCAGTGTGCATGCCTGCCAACAGTGTACAAAGGCTGTATCAGTAAACATGCCTACTGACAGTGTAAAAAAGGCTGTATCAGTAAACATGCCTACCGATGGTGTACAAAGGCTGTATCAGTATATATGCCTACAGTGTACAAAGGCTGTTATCAGTAAACATGCCCACCGATGGTGTACAAAGGCTGTATCAGTAAGCATGCCCACTGATGGTGTACAAAGGCGGTCTTTTCCTACCTGGCCACCATCTATCATTGAGGTAACAGTCAGGTCGTATAACAGCTACAGGCAGCTCCTAGTGTGGGTCTGTATATCCCCAGTGCCTAGTGATGCTTCACATGTCTGCACTCACTGCAATGTCTTCTTTTGAGAAGTATTTTTCCAGATCATTGACAGTTTTTAATGGGTTATTTTAAGTTGTTGGAATTTTCTCTATATGTGGAATCTTAACTTCTAACAGATACGGGTGCTGCAGGTATTTCCTTCTGCCTATAGGTTGCCTCTTGAACGTTTCCTTTGCAGTGTAGAACGGTTCACATCTAATGCAATCTCCCCTAATTGCTCTTGTTGGCTATATTTTTAGTGTCAAGTCCAACAATATATTGCTTAAACCAATAGCAAGAAGCTTTCACTTGCTTTTCTCTAGTAGTTTCTGGTTTCCAGTCTGAGCTATTTTGACTTGGTTCTTACATACCCTGTAAAGTAAGAATATCATCTCAGTTTTCTGCATTTGGGTGCTGTACTGGCTGGTTTTGTGTGTCAACTTGACACAAGCTAGAGTCATCAGAGAGGAAGGAACCTCAGTTGAGAAAATGCCTCAGTGAGATCCAGCTGTGAGGTATTTTCTCAATTAGTGACCAATGGGGAGAGCCCAGGCCATGGTGGGTGTTGCCATCACTGGGCTGCTGGTCCTGAGCAAGCTATGAGAAACAAGTCAGTAAGCAGCTCCCCTCCATGGCCTCTGCATCAGCTCCTGCCTCCAGGTTCCTGCCAGTTTGAGATCTTACCCTGACTTCTACCCTAAGACAGGTACCCAGTTCCCCCACCCCATGTACTACAGGGCTTGCCTTTGTCCATTGTGTTCTGTTCTGGATACATTAGCTGGAGAGTTCACTTATAAATTCATGGACTTATTTCTCTCTATCTTGCTCTGTTCCACTGATCTAACAGTTAAAGTGACTACAGACTTGGAAACAGGAAGAATGAAGCCTCCGGTTTTGCTCTTTTTTCTTCTTCAAGACTGCTATAAATTGTGACTATCTCTAGGGTCATGGGAATCTTAAGATTTTTGTTTTGTTTTTACTTCAGACAAGAACAGATCCTGTCACATTGAGGATTAGCCTCCAACTTCCTGCCTGAATTAGACGTCTAGTGTGTGCCGTCGCCCTCACTTGGCGTTGATACTGTTTATTTGGGTTGTTTATTCATTTGTAGTTTTGTAAAGAGGGTCATTTCGATTTAGATAGGGGCTGAACTGATTCTACAGGCATGTGAATTTTTACATTAATTCAACTAATCCATGAACACAGAATCTGCTTTCACCTTGTCTGCTCTTCCTCCTGTTGGGGTTTAATAGTTTCAGTGTAGAAGTCTCTTATTTAGGTGTGGTTCTATGAATTACATCACTTTTGCTGCCACTGCAAATGTAGCTGTTTTCTCTAATGAATTCCACTAGGAGACAATGAATCACTCATATTGCCACAGTGGGCAAAATAAGGCTGGAGGGAATCCACTCCAGTCTTCGAGCTCTGCTCGTGTTCTGATCACGGGCTTACCACTAATTTACTAATTTATCATAAACAAATCTTGGAAATTGTGAGCTGAATGTTTATTTAACATGAAGGGATGGTCAGAATCTGAAATTTTTCTTAGAGATAAATTAATAAATTTTCATTTAGTTATGTTAAAAATAAGGCTACAACAGTAGTATAGAACTCTTGCCCCAGCACCCAGAGGCCTGGGCAAGGGGGCCTGACAGAAACCAAACACAATACTTCATGCTGAGAAAGCAATGGAGTAAAGAGCAGGAACCCACAGAGCACCAGGAGAGGTTAAAGCTCTTAAACCTCTGGGTCTGAGTTTCTTTCATCTGTGACATCTTTCCTCACAGCCTTGTGGTCCTTTCCTCAATCATGAAGCTTCATTCCTTTATACAACTTTAAAAATTGTTTAATCAAGTAAAAAAGTAATATAAATCCTTAAGAATGTAAGAGACTTGATATATATCTATATCTCTATCATCCATCTATCTATCTATCTATCTATCTATCTATCTATCTACATATATCCATT